GCTGGTGGTGCTGGTGCTGCTGCTGCTGGGCCGCACCAAGCCTCTGCCTTCGGGGTTGGTCAGGAATCACTTAAGGCTGTATCTGCAGCCACTCTGCTCGTTTTAGCTGCGTATCCATTTTCTGAGGAGGCTGAGATGTGTGACCAAGGCTGTGGTAGTTACAGGATTATTTGTGACTCACTGAAATGTCTTACGTACTTTTGGAAAGAACTCTTTAGATGCAGCTTAGAAATCTAACTTTGCCTCCTCAATTTTTTTCAATTATGTCTCTAAATTTATGTTAATCAGTTTTTCTAATCAGAAGGTTGTTTGAGTCTTTTTTTTTTTTTCCATATTGTAGATGTCCAAGTTTTCAACAGCCACAAAAATGTCATCCCAAGAGGAAATACTGAACGATGGGCGGTTTAGCCATGTTACGAGGGATCCCAGATTTTGGGAGATGCCAGAAAAAGAACGTAAAATCAAGATTGACAAAAGATTCCGAGCTATGTTTCATGACAAGAAGTTTAAGCTGAAATATACAGTGGATAAAAGAGGTCGCCCTGTTAACTATACTTCTAAGGAGGACCTCAGGAAATTTTATGCCTTGTCAGAATCTGACTCTGATCTTTCAGGAAATGAAAGTAAAGAACACACTGAAAAGAAGAAAAAGAAAAAAAAAGCTAAACCTAAAGGAGAAGCAGATTCTGCAAAACTACTTGCTGATGGTCTCCCTAGGGAGGAGAGCAAAATAAACAAACGAGAGGTGGACCAGCCATGTGAAGCGGTGACAAAACTAGATGATCTTAAAAATGAAGGACAAAAAGTTACATCTAAATTCAAGTTGAAAGAGGACTCTAAGAAAACTGCACCAGCAATTGATTGTTCTTGGGGAAACAAGAGCCTTTTACACAAAGGGGAAAACAAGCAAGGAGATGCATCAGGAGGAAGATCAGTTTCAGTTCAAAACAAGCAGAAATCTTTAAAACCAAGTGGTACTAAATCAGTTAAAGCTCCCAGGAGGGATGGTTCCCTAGGAGGAAAAATAAAAGAATCAGGTTAGTTGCTCAAGTAATAAGTAGAATTCGGGTGTGTTTATTTGGATGTTGTTGCTTTTGTTTTATCCATGGAAGATCTGCCACAAGATCAGTCATAAAATAGCTGCCTGACTCGTATTCAGTGTTGCTGAAGGATTGGAGTTGGTCAGCTTTTTATAGAGTCGGTGCTGATTCTTCAGTAGGACAGTGGGATTGTGAACATCCATGTCCTTTTAATTGTTGGAGCTGAAATTATTGGTTAGAGTGGTTAGAAAAGTGAAATTTATAGTAGCATATACATTATTTATCAAATTGAACATCAGATATAAGGTTTGATACCATGAAGTCTTCAACAAATCAACACTTGTTGACTGAAAGTGTAAGGATGGCAGTGCCAGGCCATTAATATAATGGAGACAAGAAGTGACTGGAAGAAAAACTGAATTTATATTGCTTGTGCCTGTGTATAGCCTACATTATTGAAATCTGATTTCTAACTGTTGATTTTATACCTACAAATAGAATAACAGAGTAATATTTTCTCAGAGTTTGAGATTGATAATAGGATTGTGAGCCTAAAGAGCAATAGATTAGACAAGCTGAAGAGCCGATACTATATCATTTATGTTGTGTGCAGATTCCCTGATGTAATTTATTCCTGCACTATTATTAATTTCAGGGGTTCTGTAAACCTGAGTTTTTTTCCCTCTTTGTAAGGGATTATATGTAATTACAACATAAAAATAGATACCTGGTGTTTATCTTCCAGGGACTGTATGCATAGACACCTGTGATCAACGTGACATCAGTGAAAGCCAATTAGAGGAAGAAATTTCTGCAGATGGTGATTTTGAGTGTGCAGAATTGGAAAAAGAGGAGCTGGAAGATGATGGAGAAACAGGTGAGGAAGAGGAGCCGGAAGACGACAGGGAAACAGATGAGGATGAGAAGTCAGAAGACGATGGGGAAACAAGTGCAGAAGATAGTGATTCTGAAGATGATGAAGAAAGCGACAGCGGGCCTGATCTAGCCAGAGGCATAGGGAACATTGAAACAAGCTCAGATGATGACGAGGATTTAAATGATATATTTCCCAAGGAGCCAGAGATAGAGCATTTATGGCGTGAGCTAGATAAAGATGCCCCTCGTGGAGACGAGGTAAAAATACTTCTGCATGTGAAAAGTTGCTACATGACCAACTCAGAAATGTACAGTCTTACGAGTTTATTGTAGACCTTCATCTATGAAGCATTTTTTAAAAGTATTTTTTAAAAGTTTTTCAGTCTTTTAATTTTAGAGTGCACATGATGAAATTGGCTGAGGTTCAGAGACTTGCAGCTTTCACCGATTTCTCCCTTTCCCTCTAAGTGGAGGATTACCTATAGATAGATAAGCTATCTATAAATGAAAGAACAAACAAAATCGAGCTTTTCAGAAATTCTAATTACTGCTTTTGTTCACTACTTATTTTTTTCACTTTTTTAACTTAATGTTTTAACTTGCACTTTAAAAAATCAATAGAAGGTGAAGTAGAACTTTAAAACTGAGCACCATTAGTGTATGAGAAACCACAGTACTCTAGTGCTGTTGCAATACTGTGATACTGGTTGCTATTGTGACTAACTGTGTGATGATAACAAAATCCTAATGCTGATGTTGTAACTGCAGTCCTGAATCTGTGATTGCTGCAGTCCAGTCTGTGTTGCTTCACTATTTATGTCCTTTTTATCTGCTCTGGTGATTGCTGCTTCTGACCTTTGCTAGTTTTAAGTGATACAAAGTCTTGAGGAAGATGCTTCTTTTATTTTTCATCGCAGTTTGTTGCTGTCATTGATTTTTACCAAGGATAGCTGCTAGATAATTGTGTATTCACCACAGCAGTCAGGAATAAACCTATGATGTCCTTTTTTCCCCCCCCCTCTCTGTTCAGATTACAAACAGATTGGCAGTTTGTAACATGGATTGGGATAGGCTGAAGGCTAAGGATTTGCTGGCTCTGTTTAATTCTTTCACACCCAAAGGAGGAACGGTATTTTCTGTTAAGGTAAGACCTGATTTCTAAAAGGAGTACTGGAAAACAACAAAAAAAAACCCACTACAAAATAAGAACAAAGAAATACAGTTCTAGAACCAAAAGAGGTATTAATGTGATAAATGAGAAACTGCATTGCAATTTAACTTGCTGTGTTAGAAATAAATGTGCTAGTTTTCAGCAATGGGTATGTATTTGATAGAGTTAGAGCCTGAAGCTGCCAACTTCTCCTGTTTATGAGATTGACTCTTAAGTGTTGTTTTTCTGAGACTTAATAGTGAATTTCTCAAAACCTAGTAGAGGGAGACTACATTTCCTTGGCTAGTTTAGTTTTCAGTGGTCTTTATGATAGATAATCCAGCCTTAACCCTGGCTATCTCTAAATGCTCTCTGACCCCTTTTATCATTGCACACTACTTCCTGTTTTTCACCACTTCCAAGTTTATTAATAAACTGGTTAAATTCTGATCTGTTAAGTGATGTTTTTCCATTTTTGGTGTCCACCTTCAGTTTCCTGAGTCAAATCCCTTTCTGAAAAGGGCCACAGTGAAATTAATGAAGTTAGGCTTCCTTTTGTTCTTGATCTCTCCCAAAATATTCTTATTCCTAAAAGGCAGTTTGTTTATGCTACTGTTAAGTTAAGAGGATATTAAAGTTTATGGAATTGATCCCTTTACTGATTATAGAGAAAAAAGTTAAAGCCTAAAAGGCTGGGTGAGATATTTTTTCTTAGTTGGTGTACGTTATGCTGCTGCTATTAAAAATTTACTTCAGTGTTGTTGTATTTGTAGATCTATCCTTCGGAGTTTGGAAAAGAGAGATTGAAAGAGGAAGAACAAAAAGGACCTGTGGAACTATTCGATCTTCCAGAGAATACCACAGAAAATGATGGGTATTAACTTTTATCTTCAGATAAGAGATCTAATATGTCTAATTCTCAGTGAAAATCCCAATCAGCTCCTGTTTCCAAAATTTTCTATGTGGAAGTCTCCTGTGGATGCCTTAATTTTATAGCTTTTTCAAGGGATATTTTACAGCTGGCTGTGGTTCATTGTCAGTGCATTGAATAAATATAATGAAACTTGAGGAAAATTGCTAGTTGATAATTGAGCTCAAAATTTTTATTATGTAGCTAATAATAGTAAGTTGAACAAATGCGTGGAGAGCTTAATGTAGCATTTCTCCTCTACAAATTGCCATTTGTGCAGTAAACTTCCTTTGTTGCTTACTGTCAACGGTCTTGTCTGCATAACTAACAGGGACCTTAACCTAGGCCAAGAATTCCCAGATTGAGATTTCCTGAATGTCACCAGCATCAGCCCTGGCTTACTAGCCTGAGCTCATCAGGGCTACCACTTTCCAGGCTTCTTCAGCCATGTCTTTTTTTTCCTTTTTGTTCTGCTTGAAAGTCTTGTCTGTATGGAATTTAAGGGGTTTTGCTTTTATATTTTTCCAGAATTTCCAGATGTTTGGCAGCCTGGGTGCGGCCACTTTTGTGTAATACATCCTGCTGGGCTGCCTCGTATTTGGGAAATCTGGATGCTTCTAAAATAAGCACAGATCCCTTTGAAAAAAGTCTCTAATGCACCAGGGAATTGTATGATGAACTCGCAGTGCGTGCTGAAGTCAGCTTCACTGTGTGCATCAGGGTGCATCCTGAAGTGTTGGATTTACTGCTCAATGGGCTCTAGAAATTCTGGAATTTAAAAAAAAAAAAACAGAAATCCAGATATTCCAGAGATACCTCAGTGATACCTGTCCATGTACCCTGTAAAGTCACGGGACGGGACCGCAGCCCTGTGATCTCTTTCCTGCATCCTTCCACCAATTCATCCACTTCTCAATCTCATTTCTGCTTTTCTTCTTCTCTTGCTGTCATCTTCTGTGACACCACCACCACTGGTACTACCCAAGTTAGTATCCCGCATGCACCAGTACAGGTTGGGGGCTGAC